TCAACCATATCTCACAGGACATAATTTTCAGCCCCATTTCCAGATAGCAGTCTTTGGATACACTTTGTTTTTGCCAGTGTAACACGACCTATATTCCAGATATTACCTAAGCAGCACAAAGTATAGTGTGACTAATTTCCTATGTGCTGAGTACACTTCAGGCCCAACACAGGGTTTTAAAGCAGCCTAAGGTCGTAAGATCGATTTCGTTGAGTGATCTACTGCCCAGCTAGGTTGGCTATAACAGACCCCTTGTCACTTGGAGATGGTCTCCAGGTTGACCCAAGACCTTTGTTGCCCCTTAGTCAACAACTACTATTTGTTCAGTCGGTTATAGATCCAGTCATCTACACTATTATTCATTCCATGTTTTACCACTTTATGCACAAGGTGTGTGCTGTGTGGGTCCTGGGCCTGTTTGCCCTTAGATCAATCCCTCAGTTTCGGCTCTACACAGCGGGAAGGCTGACTCCTGCAGGCTGTGTATCCCAGGCTTGTGACAGCCAACAGCAGGCATTCGGGAAGATGTGAGAGTTAGCAGGAGGAAGGAGAATGAGTGTTTCTCCCCCATACTCTATGCTATAAGGCCTCTCCAGCAGCAGCCACAGCTCTTCCCTGGCTCCAGATACCACTGGACAGGCCCACTTGGGTTCCACCCCTGGGCCCATTAACCCTGCCTTCCCCCTGTTCCTCCAGCCCAGCAGTGTGGTAGCAGCTTCCTGCTTTTGCTAATTGGTGATTTGCCTCCCTAGTCCCCATGTGGCTTCTCAGTCTGTTCCATCAAAAGAATTACTATTTTCTGATTTCAATTTCCATTGGTTTAAATGGTTTCTGTTATCCCAGTTGTCTCTATAATTCAAATGTTACTGGCAACTGTAGCATTTCTGAAATAAAGATAAGCTTTATTATCTTTACTATATGTTTTAGTACTATATTATCTTTACTACTGCACATAGTATCACCTGCTTTATCGTCATAATGACCATAACTAAGGTGAAAAAATGTAGTTTTACATGCATTAACCTTAGAGAATCCTGGCAGGTTTCTAGTAGTCACTGAAAGAAATCTTTTAGGATGGCTCTCAATTGGTCTGTTAAATGGCCGGGGGAGGAACATCAGGTTAAACAGTTTGTAATTCCCAGGAGCTTTCTCCCCTTCAAAATTCAGGATATTGTTTTCTTAACTCAGGGTTTCCTTATTCCCTTCAGTTTCCCCAAGGGAGAAAAGACACTGAGAGCAGATTTAGCCCCATTAGTAAGTTTTTTTTAGCAAATGCTTTCTCTGGGCCTAGAGGCTAAATGTACAGACATCATTTCACTACCGAGTTGCTTCTCTCGGGCTGTTCTCCCTATGCCCTCTGCCATCTGACTTCCCTTTTAGGGTGAAGGCCATTTCTATTGCGAAAGAAAACGGAAACTATGCTGCCACCTTCCTCCACTTGTTGAAGTTGTACTCTATCTATCTTGGGCCTTTTTGTTGATTTAAAGTACGTCCGTAAGCCTCAGCCTGCTCACGCCTTCAGGCTGGTTTGGCCCTTCTGTTCTTAGTACCTGCTCTGAGTCTATCTGGGATCCTTGCTCAGGCCAGTTCTCAACCTGTGGGCTCAATCCCTGGCTTCTCAGGGCCTCTGTACCCTCTTCTTCAGTCGTGCTCCCTGGCCTTCTTCCGACAGATTTCTAATTGCCTTGGGGTTGCAACCTGGCCTTTCAAAAACTGCAGCCTTCTGTTACTGTCTCTTCTAGACTCTCTAGCCATGCTACCTAGCAATTTTCTCCCTGTCCTTATGAAATCAATTCTCTTTTCACTATATTTAATATGAACTGTTGCCCAGACATCAAAGAAAATGCTATAAACCTATTTTCAAGGTGTATGCCAAAACTTACGCATTTTAAGGACAAAGCACATCCTTCCTCTAGTCTTGTTCTATGTAAGCACACCCTAACTGGAGTCCCAGATCTCCCCTGCTTCCTTCAGACACCCCTCATCTGGGTAGAATATCCTTATGTCCTGGCCTTCAATCTTTTTCTTTTTTTTTGGCTTGCATTTCTCCTAAAACAATCGTGATGCAGTGTGCTCCTTCGCACACATTTATTAAGTTCATTCTTAGAATATATCATAGGTTTCTATATTGGAAAAATATACCATGTTTAGCCCGTTATAAACAGATATTTTTAGTAAGGCAATTATTTCACTCTTTACAAATGCATCCAATGTCACCTAGAAAACAAAGAAGGTGTCTTTCATACACACCACCATCCATTGAAAAATACATATAAAAATTCTTCTCTAATGGTCAGAACTTTACATTGTTTCTTTTTATTCCTCGAATATCAGTTCCCATTCCACTTCTGCAGAATTTTATCCTGATGCAACATGTTTGAACACTCTTTTGGTGATTATCCTTTTGTTTCTTTGCAACAACAATACATGTATAGCTATTGAAATTAAATTTTTTTTCTTGTGACCATGAGGCTTTAAGTGTTCAAAGTTTTCTTCTGCATTGAAATCTAATTTCCATTATTATCAGTACATGTAAAATCAAAACATAAAAGATTATGAATATTGATAATTATTAAACATAAAATAGTTTACTGGAAATGTATCTTTTAATGGGATGGATGGGGCTCTCTTTTTCAATCTGTTCATGAATCTGAGGATGCATACGACTTATGGTTGGAATGAGACAAGGTTCAGCATCAATTCTATTTCTAGTTTTCATTTTTTGTAGCTATAAGGGCTAAGGAATCTTGCTCATATGAATAAGTAGGTGGGAATGGAAGAAGTTCAGTTATAGTAATATCATGTCATTCTTTGAAAGCCTTATGATTTATATGAGAAAAAATTATTTTTTATTATCAGCTGTTAACTCTATTAGGGCCTCCTTCAGTTTTGTTGAAAACAGAGAATTTGATACCTCCTGGTTTGCAGAAGGATTTGTTAGTCATTACAATTTGGTATGGTATCAATATTTCCAATCATTCTTTTGTTTCTCACTATGGAGGAGTTTATACCTCAGGGCAATGCACTGTATTCATGATGGGTGAAAGGGAGGCTTTTTATGAAGTGGGTAAAGCAAAAATAAAAGAGGAAGTGTTTTAGGAGAACCCCAAGAGCCTTGCCTGGAAGGCATATTCTCAGGCACACTCAATTTGGGGAACGAGTACTTGGGGAAGATGAAGATCTAGAAACTAATTTCCTAAAACCGCCTATGCTATGCATCTCATAGAAAGTCTTTGTGATCCCATATACTCTAGCTGGAAGATCATTAAGGGTTCAAGGAATTAATTAACTAATTAATTAATTAAGGTTTGAGGAATAAATCTGTTCCTCACCTGATTCATCCCTGATCTAGATGAGGAAGCAAGCAGAGTGCCCTCCCATGGATGAGGGACATCCCTCAACCCGAGCGAGAAAGAGGGGGACTGGTACCAAATTGCCCAAAGACCCTAGGTGCATTATAACACTCAACTAGAGATCAACAAACATGGGGCAGTGATTTAGGGGTGCAGATACCCAAGTACACTAGGGGATTGTGAGGATGTAGAGCCCTCTCTCCTCCAGTTGACTGAACTCAGACTAACTTCAATGCTCTGGAGTTCCTCCCAGTTGATGTCTGTTTGTAGGAAATGCAATAAAGATAGAAGGCCGTTACATCCAGCTAAGGGCTTTCCTGATGACTCACTATTAGTTGAGATGTAAGAGGGCACCATCCCTGCAGTAATTGAGGGTCTTTGATCCAAACCTCTGGGCACTCACCATATGCCAAGCACCATGCTCAGCTCTTTATGTTCATTATCTCTTTTAATTTTTACAATAATCCTATGTGGTAGATGCTACTATTGCTATTCTTTTACAAATAAGAAAAATGCGAGATTAAGAGAGGTGAAATAACCTGCCCAAGGTCAGGTGAAAACAACATTCAACCTCGTGTCTAATTATTCTAGTTTGTCCTTCTTTATACCAGATCATAAAGTCACCTCACTGCTGTCAAGGTCAATGGTCTTTAGGGACCAAAATCCACAGACCCTCCAGAAGACAGAACATATCCTCTGAGTGTAATGTGTGGAATAGGGAGGGGACAGAGAAAAACTGGCATAGTTTAACTGGGACCAGTCAGCGAAGGCTGAAAAGCATAAGCCAATGAACAGAGCCAAATCTATTCTTCTACAGTTGTTTTATGTCTTTCCTCAAATGACCTTTCCCAGAACAAACAAGAACTTGAAGATTCTCTTCAGATTCAGGTTCTTGGCTCATGTTGTGGTGGAGAGAAGCCCTCAACCCAGAGGAATGGGGACAGCTATTGATTCACCGGCTCCCTCAGGCTACCCAATTCAATTCTCTGGACTTCAGCTGTTTCATGTGCAATAGATTAGGCTGGGACTAGAGTAGCATTTTCCAAACTTTTTAGACTATGACCCAGAGTGAGAAAAAAATGATCACACCACGAGACAAGATGCACAGGCACACGCGTGCACACACACACACCCCTCTGAAATAATTTGTGTTTCACAAAGCAACACTAATCCCTACTATGTGATGCCCTGATCTATTCTACTCTATTCATTCGGTTCATTCATTTTATTGGTAAAAAACACCCACCTGGTTGCTACTCATTAAGCTGATATTTTAATCTGTTAATGAGTGGCAAATCATGGTTTAAAAAACGCTGGACTCTGAAAGAGTAGTTTAATATCAAGTCAGTATTGTTCCTGTGAATTAGGCAAAACTTATCTTTGGTACTCTCCCAGCTTTCAGGGACTCATTTTCCTGGCTTTCTCTAGACCAGTTTTATTCCCTCTACCCCTATTTACCCTCACCTCCACTGCTTTATACTCAGATATCAAAAAATATTTCTGAGCAGGTGTTTTTGTTTTCTCTGAGGCATCTCTGTCTCTTTATAGCCATCCTCCCAGTTTTGGCTTGAGCTTGTTACTTGCAGCTAATGCAGGTCCTGTGTTGGAGAGATACCTCCATGTATTCCAGTCCCTGAAACTACTTACCTTTGACTTTCAGAGTCAGGTACTTGTAGTCCCAGGCGATCCCATAGATGATCAGGCAGCGGTACTGCCCTGCATCTCTCACTTGGACTTGGGGGATGTGGAACAAGGCCTTCCCCAGGGGCAGCTGCTCCTCCAGCAAAGTGGCTCTTTCACTGAGCAAGGTTGTATCATTTTCCACCTTTTGCAAACTGGCTTTTAAGTCTCCGAGTTCCACATGACCTCCGGTGTCAAAATCACACTCCAAGGTCACATTGCCACCATAGTCTACCGTGTACATTTCCTTCGGGACCGTCACTGTGAATAAAGCTGAACAGAAAATAAGACATTCTCAGATTGTCTGCCTTCACATTTCAGTTCTGTACAGAGTGGGACCTGAGGAGACCCATCCCACCCCCGTTTCCCGAGAGATACCTGTCATTATCTGGGCATTTGTGAAGGCTCCTTTCTCTCCTTTGCTCCATCCATTCTGGGAAAGAGTAGAATTCTTGATCTGCTCTGAGGTAGTTCTCACCTCTCAACACTCCTCACCTGTGCAGCTGACTGCCTTCCTACCCCCTATTATCCAGGCTCATTTTCTTCATATGGGTCAAATTATATCATTATCTGCCAAATTCTACCTCCTCTCACCAGTGATAGTAATAATAACTATCACTCATTGAGTTCTTACTAGGTGTTAGGCCTCTGCCAACACATGATCTCTTTTAGTCTCCCCAGGAAGCCAGTGATATAGAGCTATCTTCTTTTTAGAAAATGAAACTGAGACACAGAAAGGTTAAGCAACTTGCCTAAGATTGCACAGCCAGGATCAGACCCAGGTATTGTTAAGTTTAAGTGCTCTTAACCAGCACATCATACAAGTCTACTGTAGAAGCGTCTTTTCTATCAATAAGAGGAAAGAAAGAATGGAACTAATACTTAGTGTATACCTACTATGTGCCAGCCACTGTTCTAGGCTCTTTATAACTATATCATTGGGACTTCCCTGGTGGTCCAGTGGTTAAGACTCCACGCTCCCAAGGCAGGGGGCCTGGGTTCGACCCTGCATGCCTCAACTAAGAGCCCGCATGCTGCAACTAAAAAGATCCCGCATGCAGCAACGAAGATCCCGAGTGCCGCAACTAAGACCCGGAGCAGCAAAATAAATAAATAAATAAATAAATAAATAAATATGTTTTTTAAAAAACCTATGCCACTTAATACTGAAAATACAAGCATGAAACATATATTATCATTACTGTTTTATAGTTGAGGAAACTAGGTCAAAGAGGTTTGCTCCAGGATGTACAGTTAGTAAAGTTAAAATTCAGAGCTAGTCAGATGGTTGACTTCAAAATCTGTAGTCTTTGAAACAGTATTTCCCAAAACGTGAGGCACATACTTCTAGAAGTATGCAAAATGATTTTAGATACGGCAGAATCAAGGCCCAAAGGGAGTTGGATTATTCGGAGAGGAATTTATTCCCTCTTCAATTCTATTTCAACCCTTCAAATTACATATAATTTGCAACTAGACTCTCACGTCTCTAACAATGGTTATTTTTCTTTTTATTTTATTTTATTTATTCATTTGTTATTTTTGGCTGCTTTGGGTCTTCGTTGCTGTGCGTGGGCTTTCTCTAGTTGTGGCGAGCGGGTGCTACTCTTCGATGCAGTGCATGGGCTGCTCACTGCGGTGGCATCTCTTGTTGCAGAGCATGGGCTCTAGGTGCGTGGGCTTCAGTAGTTGTGGCTCGCGGGCTCTAGAGCGCAGGCTCAGTAGTTGTGGCGCACGGGCTTAGTTGCTCCGCAGCATGTATGATCTTCCCAGGCCAGGGCTCAAACCAGTGTCCCCTGCCTTGTCTGGTGGATTCTTAACCACTGCGCCACCAGGGAAGCCCTATTTTTCCTTTTAATACAACAAGAAGCTCTCAGGCAGATATTATCTGGGTAGAATTTAGTAGCACCACTTTACATTCATTGCATTTATTTTTGCTCATATCCTCTATTTACCTGTACCAGTGATACTGGTTTTCCATTTACCACAAGGGTAGATTGTTTTGTTCAAAAAATAAAAGCTCAGTTGATTTAGATAATTCTATAAAAACAATAGCACAAAGAGTAGTCAAACATAGCAAAACTAACGAAAGTAGTGTATGCATGAATAAATTGTGATAAATTGTACAAAATTATGCTGCTTCCATTATTAATGAGTGGTTAGTCATTAAGACTGAGTGTAAGATCTCAAAGTAGCTTCTGAATTGTGACAGAAGATTAGATCAAATTATGTTCAGTAGAGCTTACTTCATTAATCCATTCATTTAATCAGTCAAAACATCCACTTATATTTGGGGATGGCTTCTAAGAATATGCTATTTGAGTGGTTGTTTCCACATAAAACATGGTATGGAAAGAGCTTGGGATTTAGTGACAGATGAACCTGGGTTCAAATTTTGACTATATCAGGATTATGAGCCCTTTGATCTTGATCATGCCATTTAAACTCTATGAGTCTCTTATCTGTAAAGGTCGAAGATAACATCTACCTGTCAGCGTTGTGGGGAAAACTAGACAAAATGGCACACGTGAAGTGCCTTATTTTGGCAGGTAGTCAGCAAACTTTTCTTTTGTACAATGTTTTAATTCTTGAGAAAGTGGTATTCGGACCACCCTGGATAACAGATTTCACAGTATAAATAGTTTGGGGGTTTTCTGTTGCTTGAATGATTCACATCACAATTCTCTTCTGACTGGAGTTTTTCCTCCTACCATCCTGCAAATCTTTGAAGGCAGTGACCAGGTTGAATTTGCTTTGGCGTCTCCAGTGCCTAACACATACTAAATTCCAGTTGAGGGTTTAACATAAAATGACAAAAAGGGGGAGAGGGAGAAACAAAAGGATGAGCCTCCCCATATTCACTTTTGCTTTCCTCTCATCAAATAGCAACTTGCCCCAAATTGCACAAACTGGCATTCTTTTTTTTTTTGTGGTACGCGGGCCTCTCACTGCTGTGGCCTCTCCCGTTGTGGAGCACAGGCTCCGGAGTGCAGGCTCAGCGGCCATGGCTCACGGGCCCAGCCACTCCACAGCATGTGGGATCTTCCCGGACTGGGGCACGAACCCGTGTGCCCTGCATTGGCAGGCAGACTCTCAACCACTGCGCCACCAGGGAAGCCCCAAACTGGCATTCTTAATCACCAGCCAGCACACGTGAGAGTGTAGTGCACACACTTGAGTTTTTATCAAAAATTAATGACGAGCTTATATATTGCCTCCAACCCCTGTTTTAACCACAACTAGAACATTAGCGTGCCTTTCTGACAGAGATCTATGATACAAAAAGGAGTTCACAGCTGCCTGGTATTCTTTTGCGCAGGATGGGGGTGGGGGCAGGCTACAATGTGAGTGCTTCTGTGTAAAACAATGCCAATTCAGCATTTGCTTGGCCAGGTTGAGAAGACTCTGGGACGATACATGTGAGAAAAGATGCCATGCTTCTGAATTTCCCGCATGATTCCATTTTGTGGAATTCCCTGAACACTTGTAATAACGCTCACCGGAGTCTCCGTAATAGGATACTCTTTAAAGTAGATTCCTTTATGATTAGAATCACCTCCAAATACTTGAGTCATTAAGTCCCCTTATAATTAAAACAGAGCTGCCTGATACCAAATCCACTCTGCCCTGGAGAATAATATTTATTTATTCATTCTCTAATATGTATTAACCATATTCTCTGCACCAGGTTCAGGAATTTACACTACTTTTACTCTCCTCATAGCACTTTCTTCTCTTATTTTATTACACATGATATAACAAGAAACAGGGAAGAGAAATGGGGCTTGCAGGGAAGGTTAATTGCTGAACCTGAGATTTAACAAGAGTCAGAGGACTTTGGGTGTAGTCTCTATTGAATTTATTTAGTAGATTTATTTACCACACTTATACTTTCTTCTCATGAGAGAAGGAACGCCTCTAACTTCCTCTGGAACTCCCCATAGCATACAGCAGAACTCCCCTCTTCACTGTCTGGGCCTTTGAAAAAAAAATCCATTTTCTGCTTGCTTTTCCCCTCTGCCTTGTGCAGAGTGTGTGTGTATATACAGAGGTTGGAAGCATAAAGTATGCTACCTCTCAGGCAGGTGACATTTTCCATCTAATGTTCACAAGAGGAAAGAGCAATTGGCAAAGATGAATCACATATCTGAGTCGCTCAGAATAACTAGAAGATTAATTGTTAGTTGGTCTATTTTGCTCCAACTAAAGCTTCTAAGACATGCAAAGCTTTGAGCTTGATTACTCGATACAAAATGACAAGTTTAGGAAATGCAATACTAAAATATTCTTACTTATTGTAAATTACAGAGGAAATCAAAACACTCTTGCAAGCAATTCTGTGAAGAGGTTTTTCTCAAGCTTGGCTGCACATTAGAATCACTAATGAGAGGGCCTCAACCTTACATCATAAGAATTACCTGGGAAGCTTTTAAAACGCACTAATGCTCAAACCCCACCCTGGATCCTCTAAAATTAAATTCTAATTATTTTGTGAGGCCAGCATCAATTAAAAAAAAAATTTCCCTAGAAGCTTCTAATGTGCAGGGAGCATTGAGAAACCATTGGTTGGACAAATAAAACACCTGCACTTGCAAACATTTTTTTACCATCCTGCCATCCAAAGTGTTGTCATCAGTTTTCCCTGGGAGCTAGTTAGGAATGCAGAATCTCAGCCCATGCCCTGGACCTAGAGAAGCAGAATCTGCATTTTAACAAGGTTGGGGTGATTCACATGCACATTGACATCTGAGAAACAGAGTTATAACATTGGCTTGCATTTGGACTGTGACTGGGAAGTAGAGTAAAAGATAACATTTATTAAACTCAATGAACCAGACACTGGGCTAAACTGTACATCACCATTTCATGTTCCCAAAACCCTGCAAGGTAGGAGTCACTACCCCCATTTTACAGATGGGGAAACTGAGGCTTAAAGAAATGATACAACTTGCCCAAAGTAAAAAAGTGGGAGCTCATGGAGTTGGAATTCAAATTCATATCTCTGTGTGTTGAAAGCTTGTACTTCTAACAGACAGGACTATATATCTACTGGCATGTGTATACTACATGCATGAATGAAATAGATATACTCTTCAGCCTTATAATAAGGAAAAGACATTTGTTGTCTATTTCATATGTCACATGGTTATTAAATTAAACTTCAACCTAGCATTGAATTCCTGATGTCATCAGACAAAGGAGAAAACTGGAAAGTTTCCACAACTGCAAATTAAGCCAACAAAACATTCATTTGGTCATCCTGACTAAATTAAAGGGCAAAGGACTTGGCCAGAGCATGAAAAATTAATAAATGCACGTTCTTTAGACAGATTAAAATAGCTGGCTTGAGTAATGCCAGAGCCTTTCTGAAAGCTCTTGGGGGAAGTTTGCCTTTTATTTGCAGTCAGGGCACCAATGGAGTCAGATCTGTCACATCTCCAGGAAACACAAAACAATTTAGTTGCATTATCTCCCAAGACAGCTTCCTCTTTAAGCTAATTTTATACCTTTTTTCCCCATTAACAACAGAAGCTTAAGTGTTTACAGACTTCTTAAGGTATTTTGAAAGGCGAGGATGGGTGTAGGCAGTGAGGGGAGGGGGCACCGCTTTACACAGCCAGCCTTCAGAAAGCTCTAGTTCCTGGTTTAGAATAGATGCTGCTCTGGTCACTTGACGCATGCACTCCTCGTAGC